TTATGTCACGCTATATCACATGACATAGTATATATCCGGATATATAAATCCGGATAGAGGTATTAACTCTAGCTGCATTCCAGCATTATAGAAAAACTATAATAACTTCTGACAATTTTGTTATGAAATTTACTATTTTTTATATACTTCGACTAGTGTTTGTAGTCGACCTAAATCTATCGAATCGACTTAGTCGAAATTTAAAAATTGGCTAGCCGGCTATGCAAAGTCGATTGTCTTTAGTATACAATTCCCGACTTTTTCGCCAACCAGGTTGGATTATCTAGTTTCCTGAACCTCACAACCATTTCCTATATACATAACCATAGAATCGACTAAATGAAATTGTTAAAAAATCGACTGACTTAGTCGGCTAAGTGGATTATCTGTCAAATCGACTACAATCACTACCTTCAACCAACCGCGATTCACTTTTAATAATTCTGCCAAAAATGAACAATTATATTACAGCATTTATTTAGAGAAGAATAATATCACCTAGTCAGATTGCTATACTATTAATAAAAGTCAATTAATGATGGATAGTATTCATATTTATCTTTGTGTGCATATAGTTTTGGCGAATATGAATTATTTTTTAAATATAATCATTTATAAGAATGAATGTTGTGGAAAGAAATTTTTTAATTTCAAGACTTCTTTTAAGGAATAGATATGAATAAAAAGGATCAAGTTTAATATAAGGGACCCTACTCTAAATTCAATTGATTAATAATCAATTTTATTAGTGGGTCCTTTATACTAAACTTGATCCAATAAAAATACATGTTTACTACGTTGCAGATAATATGGATAATATAACTTATAAAACAACTTATTTTAAAAACTAAATCTGATTTATAACTATATATTTATTTAAACGATTAACGGAACATCGATTATTTTAAAATAATTAGATACTTATTTTTCAACCTCCATATAATCACCAATCAACTTATTCAAATATTCATAAGTAGAAAATTGTATAGCCCCTCCAGGAGCAATTCTAACACATCTTAAAGTAGCACCTTTGAAAAATGATTTTACACCTTCATTTTTTAACATCGATTTAACACATTCAAAACTATTTCTATATCCGGCATTTTGGTCTTGCATCCGAGTTTTTACAACATCAGGTGGTGAATTAAATATACCTACAAGAATGTTTGCTAAAAAACCTGATAATGCATGTTGTAATGGTGTATTTTGGCCGTTGTTTAAACTTGAAAATAAATCTTTGAATGATATATAGCCAGTAAACTATTTTCTTAAAATACATGGTTAGTAAACTAAAAAATTGTAAATTAATAAATTAAAAATTAATAAATAAAAATTACTTTGACAGCCAATCCCCAAGACTGTCTAAAGATAGTAGGAAGAAGTCCTTTGTATAATGCTAGCACTCTATAAATAAATTATTAGCAAGCTTATAAAATAATTCTGTGTAATAAATTTTATAAATATATATTTACCCTTCATCTTTAACAATATGCACTATGGTTGAAGACATACTACGATACCTTTGCTTATTCAAGTCAGTTTGTTGCCTTACTTTTATTAATTCAAGAGGTGTTACTAAAGTTGAAGCTTGTAAAACCCCTGTGCAAATCTAATGATCAAAGTTATTAATACTATAAAACCATTCTATAAGAATATTACTAATCATAATAGCATAGAATTTACCCCTGTAAAAGCTGAAGAACTAATTTAAAAACATGGTAAGTAATTCACCTATCTAAATTTAAATAATAAAATTTTGATCTTTTTCAAACCTTCCAGGTGGTATTAAAACTCCTTCCATTCGGTCAAAAAATGGTTTAAACGTTGCTAAACCAGTATATTGTAATGAAACTCTTAATAAATAAATAAATAAAAATAAAAAATTTTTTAACGCTATTTGATTAAAAAAAAAAACCCCCCCAAAATTTTATATTTATTACCTTGGAGTTACAATGCACATTACGGGCAGTGTTCCCCTATACAAAGCTTTATATAAAGTACATATAGTAAATTATAAGAAATCTCATATTCATATTACAAAAAATTTTTTACCAAGCACGCCTTCTTGAGAGATAATTCTTTTAAATGAGTTTAATATTCCAATACCATCATAATTAGAGGAAATACGTATTGACTTAAGATCAATTAAAAGTGAGATTTGATGGCTCAAGTATTTCCAAACCGTGAAGTTTTAACCAAACTCAGGGTAATCTCAATCATGAATATTGTAAAAATCTCATTGATGATATTAAAGTTACCTGAATTCTGTGTAAGTATGCAAAATTTTCAAAGTTTTCAATATATATATATATATATTTGATTGTTATTTAGTAATTTAAGATTTTTTGCATACCGCGTCTTCAAAACATCAGTAGGCTATATTTTTATGGAAAACGTTGAATAATTTGCCTACTGTATAACGTAATAATAATTGATAAACGACAAACCTGCATGATAGAGACCTCTACGAAACTATTTGTATGATTGCATTATACAATAATTAAATGATTAAAAAATTTTATTAAATTTTGGGATTTATAATTGAATTGAAGTTTTACCCAGCACCTGTGCCGGCTAAAGTTGACACAAAAATTTTTTTCGCTTGACCCTTTTTTGAAGACATCTTACGACACAAGTGGATTGAAATTTTGATCTTTTTTGATCTTTAAATAAATTGATAAGATTATCAGAACGAATTATCACATGGGAATGGTTTCCGAAACCAGAGAAGGATGTTACATTCGAAATATATACCAATCTATCCATACAATCTTTCTCTAGAGTAGAAATCAAAAAAGTCATGTTCATTAAGTATTTACGTTATATTAAAATGCACATATGCTTAAGTGATTTGATAAACTGTTAAAATTTTATTATATAAATTTATGATTAAAAGCACCTTCGACTATATGTGGTAGGTAAATACGGAACATCTTTAGATCCGAAGTTAACCAAAGTTTATTCTAAATTCAATTAAATTGATTTTCGGCTTGAGTAAGAATTGAATATTTTAACCCATTTTTTATCATACAGCAATTAAATCACGATATGGTGAAGTTTGACTCAAAGCCAGTCTATACAAAATTCTTTCGATATAGTGAATTTTTATTAATGGAAATGGAACCGATCATTTCACTATAACAAGAGCCCCCATTTCCCTATAATACTTGCTTTTATTTTACTTCATCTTCACAATAAAAATTTATGCCAGTTAATGGTATACGTAAGATAATTTTTTTAAGAATACGAATCTATTGAAAAAATTTATCTTGAAATAAAGAGATATCTTTTTTAAGTTGCACGAAGGCCCGTGGATATTATTTCGGCGTACAATTAAAGAGAGTCAACACTTAAATTAATTACTTTAATTAATTTAACTGAGGACTTTTTTAAATCAAATTATCGGGTTGCATTCAGTTAAATTTATTATAAGTTCTTTTAATTATATCCCGAAACAACGCCCTGGCGTGTTATTTCGTGATAATAATGTATTAGTTTTATAGACAATAGATATTCACTATAACATATACAAATATTTGTAGTTTATGAAGGTCTTTCACTACTCTTTTATTGATACATATGCTTAAAAATTGGTACACAAATTTAAAAATTTAAAGTTTACATGAACCGCAAAATGTTAAGATCAGATTTTACAAATGTATGAAAAAAAAAAAAAAAAAAAATTATTGAAAATAGACAATAAATAAAGCCGATAAATTAGAACCCAGCGAGAATGAATATCGTTTTTGGACATTTAAGGACATTTAAGGAATGTTTTTACGTTCTCGCCCTTCGGCTTGCAGTTGTTCATTTCCGATAGCGTTGCCAAGAGTTTCTTTTGCACCGCCTATGACTTGATGTTTTTGGTTTTGGGTATTGCCTTTGGCGGCATCAGATTCGTATTTGCCTAATTATTTTTATAATAAAAAATTTTTAATAATCATATAACCTAACTATTCAATTCTATTAATTAAAAGAGATTAAATGCGTTGAATACACACCTTCCATCTTCTTGGCAGTACCCTCAGCTTGCATTTGTTCGTTGCCTAATACTTTACCGGCGGTTTCTTTAGCTACACCTTGGTAGTATTTGGCATCACCTCCGATTTTGGATGGTTCTCTGTTATCAGAAGACATGTTTATAGATTTTAATTTACGATTGAAGTTTTAAAAGTTGTTTGATTTGAAAGTTGTTATTGAAGATGATTTTGAATTGATTTTTTTTGACGGAAGAAAAGGCCAGTATTTATAACTTTTTCAAAATGTATTCCTGAAGGATTCGCTCGTAATGATATCATTTTGATAAAACTTTTTCCGAAAGACAGCGTATGGTATCATTAATACGTAAGTATCAAGAATAACTTATTCTGTGAACTTATTTGCGTCATTATTACATTGTATACATGGATTTCGTTTTATAGCTCTATACATCGTCATATACACGTCCTGATGACGATATCAAGATGCAGGTTGGTGACACCTATTTAAATATGTCACCTATACTGTATTTTATCCCCGATTATCATATTTGTTTAATTGATCGTCTTGAAAGTTATCAATACTTTCGGACCCAAAAGTTCGGATCTCATACATACAATATTAAAGATACAGAATTTGTTTTAGTTGAATTTAATGAAGAAAAAAATTTATGTTTAAAGTACGGTAAGGAAGTGAATTATTCGATTACTAATTAAGTATCAATTTCAATTTAATGACATTTATTTGACTGTGCATTAAATCTGAAATTTTAGAATTTTATTATCGAGTAAACTTGCACTGAACAAAATTGCCAAAACAAATACTGGTTATTTACACAATGAGAAATAATTATAAAAAGTAATCATAGTTTATGAAAATGATTTTAAAGCTTCAACAGTACAAAATAAAATAAAAAATAAAAATAAATAAATCAAATAAATCAATAAGCAGTTCTTTACGATTGTCTTGAAGCTCAAATGCTTTATGACTTAATCAGTTAAAATTTAGAGGTGATATTTGTTTTATGCAGTTATGTAGTATATTATGTAACGTAACGTAATACAAATCGGCACAACCGTAAATTCACATTATTTCGATCATCTGCACGTTATTTCCGAGATTTCAACTCCCAATTGTTACTGTACTATATTATAAGTAAATTCATTGATTTGGAACGTCATTTCGAAACTAACTATGCTATTTTTAGGGGGCGCGATTTTCGAAATAACGCCCGTGACTATTTCGAGAATTTACGGTATATCAAACAGTCATATCTATCTTAGCTAAGGATATTAATAGTCCACGAGGAACGGGTTCGGACCGGACTTTTAGGGACTAGTTCAGAACTGACCCAATAATCACATGATAAGTGTCATTTTTGACGGATCGAATAGATAAATTACTATGTGAATCGTAAAATAGCTATAATTAAAAATGGGCGTTTATTACTAAAATCCACCAATTCTGTAATTTATTACTAGAATAATTACTCTAATTGGCAAATTTTAAATCAAATTAGTAAATAATTATTGTTTTCTACGCCGTATTGCTGCATTGCTATAGAGTTCAAAAATTATATTAAACCACTAGGGTTAGACCAGTTTCTGACAGGGGCGTGAACTTTTTCATTAACTAGTTCATGGCCAGACTTATCAGGGACGGATCCCTAAATCCAACTATTAAGTAGGCAGGAAAAAAAACAAATGATTCATCAATCATATTGTAATAGAAATAAAATTAAACTATGCTTTTATTATTATTGTACTGTATTTAACAAATAACTACTTATAAAATAGAGTTTTGATTCCATTATTCAGTGACTATTCGAATTTATATAATTTAAATCGTTAATTACTGCTAGAAAAACGGATATCAGAGGTCGAAGACATAGAATCATATATACATGAGAACTAAAACTATTGTGACGAATACCTAAAACTCTGAAATTTGACTACTAATATGTAATACAGTACTACCTTTTAACTATGCCAATCAATATACCCAGGCTAGAGTATATTGCTGTCTATATTCCACGGCCCCCGATGATATTTTTATGATGATGTAATACTGTGAAAATATCAAAAACTTTCCAAAGCATGACATCATCAGTAAAAATCAGATATTACACGTGCGCCATGAAGTATGATCAGCCCGTGAAACATCTATTGCATATTAAGGTGTAGATAGTGGGAAGATGGGTAGACGCGTCATCAAGATAGATTAGAGGGCAAAAAATTTTTCAAGTTAGCATTAATTGATAATGTATAATTTGAACTAATTATGCCATATTAAACCTATATCTTTCAATACTAATACAGTAAGTTTATACTGTATTTACCAGAAATTGAACAGTTAGAATAAAATATATATATAGCTAATTTCTGATTGGGTACATATATAACTTTTTTTAACCATTTAACTGTATAGTCCAATAGACAGTAGCGTATTTTGCCTTTTAAGTAAAGTCCATCAAGCCTAAAATCCATGAGATTATTTTGCAAATTAAATGTTGGTATTACAGTCGCACTCCCATATAATCACACCATCGGGACCTATAAAAAGGGTTCTTATATAAAAAATGTGCTTATGTAGAGAGTTGTTTTTATATGTTTAATAGTAGTTTGTTCAAAAAATATAAAGATGATGTGAGTGCGGCTGTATTTAGCTTAGGTAATACAGTCTCTTAAATACTACAGTGCAGAAACTTGATGATTAAGGATTGGACCCGTAAAAAAACTTACCTGGTTACCTGTAGTTAATTGTTAATATACCCGGGTAACAGGGCGTATACTTATTTGTGCAAGTGATACAAGAAATTAGCCAATTGGAGAACGTAAAATGTGATGATCCCGGATCAGCCCAACATGTGAGCAAAGCGAAAAAGAGAAAATACTCAAAAACTAGTGTTTAAATCGTCCTTGTTGGACTAATAAAAAATAACGGGAATGAAATTTTACATATAAAAAATACATTATCACTAAAGCTCACAACCCTAACACTAACCCTAACGCTAACCCTAACGTCCTAATCCTAAACTTAGTTTATTTACAAATGCGATTTCCTTTTT